CTAAGAGAATGCATTGCCAGCAGACCTGATATGAAAATGTTAAGGAAAGTTCTTCAGGTGCAAGTATGTTTACCAGATGGAAACTTGGATGCACACAAAGAAATGGAATGTTTTGTCACAAATTACCCCAAAACTCAGTGGTTTACACCAACAAACCTGACCCAATTTCTCAGTCTGTGGGTCAGGAATTCAACATCAGCTCAGCTGGGTAGTTTAGGGTTGCTGACCAGGGTTGCTCATGTGATTGCCGTCAAGATGTTGGCTGGAGCTTCATTGGAAGGCTTGACTAGAGCTGGGGGACCCACTTCCAAGCTCATTCTACACATGTAACTGGAGAAGGCTTTATTTCTTCACCGTGTGGAATTCTCCATGGGGTTATTTGAATGTCCGCCTGGCATGTCTTCTTGTCTCCCCTAACCCAAGTGATCTGAGAGAAGAATGGAAGCTACAGTATCTTTTATGACTTGCAAAAATTTTTACATTCTTGGCAATTGTGGGTTACCATTCTGTTTGGAATAGCTGGAGTCTCAGATATAAGGGATGTGTGTACTCACAGATTTGGTTTTTCTCATGGCCTTGCATTGGGTGCTCAAGAGAAAGACCTGGAGCAGGTCAGGAGGCTGGAAGGCCTCCTGGCTTACAATATGATACACAGAATAGCTGCTGCTGATGGGGGCTCGTGGAAATCACACGTTTCTACCTCTATTCATTAGAAGTGAGTCCCTACAGGCCACACTTTGAGAGGGAGAGGAGTGAGGCTATACCAAAGGGAGGAGTATCACAGAATCTGTGGAGATACTTTTAAAGCACCAACACCAGAAACTATAAAAATGAAGATAAATAAAAAATGTATTTGTTATTTTTATTGCTTCAAAAGAATTCAGTTAAAGCAAAAATAGTAACCATGTATTCTGCGGTTTATTATGCACATTAAAGTAAAATGTGTGACAATAGCATGAATGCGGGAAGAGAGGAATTGGAAATATATTGTAAGAGTGGTAATTCTTACAACTAATACATTCAGTGGTATACTACTTTGAAGGTGGACTGTGACAAGCTAACAATGTATATTGGAAGCCCTAGGGAAACCACCGAAACTTCTTTTTGTAAAGAGTTGTAACTAATTAACCAGTAGTGGAGATGAAATCAAGAAAATAGTCCCGAAATAAGTGAGAAAAGAGGAAAAAAGAAATGGAGTAAGTAGAAACTAGCAAAATGGTAGGTTTAAATTCACCCATGCCAATAATTAAGATGTAAATGGTTTAAATAGCCAATTACAAGTTATCAAAAAAAGATAATCAGAATGAATAAAAAGGCAAGACCTAGGTACATACTATCAATAAGTAACCCATTTTAGAGATAAATTGGAAAGTTTAAAAGTAGGATCTTTTAATAAGCACTTGAAAAAACTGGCACACTTCAAACCAGGTCTACAGTTCAGTAACAAGAGTCGTGCCAATGTCCATTTCATGGTTTTGATTACAGTCTTATAGTCACATGAAATGTTATTTTGGGGTGAAAGCTGGGTGACGGGCACAAAGGAACCCTCTACTTTTGTGTAACTTCTCCTGTCTTCTGGCAATGTGCACGAAACTAATAGGCTAACTTACTCACTCGTCAGCAGGGTTAAGACCAAACCCCAGACTCAACAGTTTTGTTGACAGGTCTGGGATGCTGACAGACTTGGCATTCCGGATTTGGAAGGACAAGATCGCACAGGCCAGTTCAGGAATCTGAGACTTCCTAGGATACAGCAGCAAATGCTCTTGCCTACATGGTTAATATGGCAGGGAAGCAATGAGACCCCTTCCGTCTTGTTAATGATGTTGAACAGCTAGAGGTGGGTTTGAGATGAGTCACCCAAATTTGCTCACTCTTCCCGGCAGGAAGAGACAGGGATGTTACCGCTATGGAGGAGCAAGCCCTGCGGTCCCAGCCAGAAGGCCAGAAGGCTGTGGCTGCTACGGAAAGAGTCCTCAACTGAGATTAATGTCAGCAATGAGGAATCTGCTATTCAATATAGAGCTTTGGGTGACCTGCAAGCAGAAGGCCACTTGGTTGAAGTGAGCGTAGGTGGCCCCTCGGAAGTGTGGAAGAAGCTTTGCCTGTTAGTGTAAAGTCTTGCCACGGCCACACGTGGCTGGCAGTGAAGTTGGGGCTCTGGGTGCCAGGGTGGCCAGAGCTAGAAGCCTGGGGCCGGACAGCACAGTGGCACATGCAGGAGCACAAAGTAAAGGGCCCCGGGGGCTGGGCACTCACTGGATGCTGGGAGCTCACAGGGGAGGAAGCAGCAGTGCTCCGGCATTAACTCTGGGCTCAGAGGTCAATGGAGAAAATCAGGTTTCCCTCCCACCCCTTCCTCCCACTGTCTCCTTGGACTGGCCTCCCCCTGCCTCCCAGCTCGGGGTAACTTGGGTCTCCTGGCAGCTGTGCTGTAGCCCGATGCACGTGTTAAACTTCTTGGTCTGTGATCGTGTAGGGGAAAAAAGACACTTGAATTCAACCGATAGTTTGGACAGGGCTTGTAGTGGGAAGGAAGGTGTGAAATTGTTAGCACCTCATCTGAGCCAGGGGGAGCTGAGTTGCGAAGTGCTGGAATAGCAGGTGAACACGAGAAGCCAAAACGAAAGTAACAGTCAAACCTCTGATCCCTTCAATAATATAAGCAAGAGGCTGAACCAGACAAACCATTGGTAGCTCCCTGCTCCCATTTTCTCCCACGGAACAACACACCAGTCAGGTGTCAGCTGGGTCTGCACAGACATGGCAGTGGTCTCATTGCTAATGGAAGTCCAGACAGGCTCCTGCAAGCTTGCAGACCTGGGGAGTGGGGTGAAAGAGGAGGAGGGCCTAAGAGTGGTAAGAGTACTGAGTCAGAGTGTAGAAATGTCTTCAAGTTTACCCCTTTCCCTCCTAGAAGCAGGTCTCAGCAGAGGCACCTGAGGAAGGCCTCTCCCAGAGCCCCTGACAAAGAGGCACTGGGCTAGGACTGAAGCTGTGAATAAGAGCCTGAGTTCTGGACTGCAAGTCCCACTAGACTGCAGTGCGGCCACTCTGGTCCAGGGAGGCCAGCTTTGTTCCATGGACCTGCCAGGTAAAGCCTTTGTAATTACCTCTGTTCAGGCTTGGGGGGAAAAAAAAAATCACACAGTTTTGGGTTTTGTTTTTTTTTACCAAGGAGTCAGACACCTCAAAAATAACCTCTCACTGAGGCCCTTTGGGCCAATTCAATACATGTATCATGGATCTATTATTTACCTGAACTTTTCCTTCCAATTAAGTGTCACATTCAAGGACTGTCCCTTCCTGGGTGGCCCAGCAGAAATAATACTGAACTCCAGGAGAGAGAATCCACAGCTTCAAAGACTCAATGGCTGCCTAAATTCTCACAGGCCATAGCCAGGTACTGTAATAGAATCAACTGCCTGACAATCACCAAAGACACCTTTGTACAAAAGGAGGAGGTTATTAGTCTGCTACTAAGCTTTGAGACTGAATGCCTCTTTGGTTTGACGTTCTCATTTGGAGGTGGGTCAATTTGGACTTGATGACTAACAAGGTGAAAAGGACAACAAGCCTCCCAAGTCAAAACAAATAGCATATTCAAGGGTGTAGCTGGCCTGGTCCTAGCAGCTTTTGGTACTATGATAAAATGGCAGCCATTCCTTTGGGGGTGAACTTTATGCCCCGCTCTGCCACCTAAAGCAAAGCCGCTGGTTCGGTGGGGCTCTTGACTCACAGACGTTACCTGAACTCCCAGGTCTAGATCCCTGGCTGGCTAAGTTGAAACCCAGTGGGGTGCAATGGGCTGTGGGCGTTCAGCCTCAGCGCCAGCCGGGTAAAACCAGAAGCAGATACGGTCCTTCCTGTCAGTGGCTAGAACTCAAAGCAGTGCTCAAGACTGGCCAGTCCTCCCCTTGACGAAGTTCAGTACATTTTTACTGACTTCTGGATGGCTGCCAATGGCTTGTCTGGTATGCCAGCTGAACACCTATAGGCTGGCGGATTAAAGATACCTCTCTCCGGGCATTAGACTTAATAAACTGCTCAACTTCCGTAACAGTTAAAGAAATGAGTATTACAATTAGATACTTTTTCCTATCATATGGACAAAAATGACGAGTTTAGCAAAATCCAGTATGGGCCAGAGAATGGATGCAAAGCTATTCCAAAACACTGTCAGTGATGTGTAAAATGTTCATCATTCTCAAAGGCAACTTGACTGAAAATGCACATACACCCTGGCTGAATGATTCTATGTATCTATACTGAACAGAAATAATCCAACATGTAAGAGGCAGGTACTAGCATGTTTCTAAAAGTGAGAGTAACCCTCCACGAAGTTTTGCTTGTGCCTCTCTCCCATTACCTACCATTTTATTTCTTTACCATTCCCACCAAACTTTAATATTCAACAATCTATACATACATACCTGTCATCTTTGAATCTCCCCAGGATTCCACTGAAACGTTTTTTTCACCATAACATTAAAACTAATGTCCTGTGACTAATCTTCATCTTTTTCTATCACTATACAGCGGTCAACAGAGATTGAAATTACATTGTCTACCAGGTGCTTTCACATATAATACTGCATAGAGTAGCACAGGACCTCATACAACCCTTTGAAGTAAGTGGTATCAATCCTCTTACAGGTGAGGAAACACACTCAGAGCACCTTGCCTGAGATCACGAACAATAGTTCAGGGAAACACACCCAGAGTATCTAAGAGCCAAGTCCAGTGCTTGTGCTACTAATGGCTGGTCCTGGAACTCTTGTACTCGTGTCCTTTATAGGTATTTCTCTATTACTTAACAAAAGCAAAGAGCAAGATTAATTAGTATCAGGCCTAACATACCCAAAGACCAAGTATTCTTATTACCAACTTTCTAGAAGCATGTAAGAATAAGCTCATCTAAGGATTAAAAAGCATGTGTTCCATTAATTCAAATTCCCACATCTATAGTTACTACTTAGATGGAAACAACCAAGCAAATACTGTTTCGTAGCAATTGGCAGACTTTAATATTCAAGAAAAATTAAGTCCATCATACACATTAAAAATATAGGAAATTTCATGCAGACATGAAGCTTCCAATTCAGCCTTTGTGGCAACTTTTAGAATGAGAATTACATATAAATACAGTACATTTTACAGTTCCCAAACTTCATAATTTTATACTGTGATTTATACAGCTTCTCTATATTTTACATTTCCCATCTTGCTCACTTGATTAAAATACCCTAACCTGCACCGCTTCAGAATATGGGGGGGGTGGGGGGGTGGGGGGGGAAAGCAAGCACAATGACCTATCTCCTCCTGCTTTATGAAAATGAATGAAAACATTTGTATATAGAGCTAATATAAGGAAAAAGAACAAAAATTTTTAAGGCTTACATACTTTAGTAGCTAGGATTACACATAAGAAATACAAAATTAAATCCTCCAGTGACACTTCTATTACTGATTGATACCACAATTTTCAAGTTTAGAATACATTAACTACAAAAGCAAGGAGAAAAAAAAGTGATGCAAATTTGTGTAGAGTATTTGAAAAACAGTAGTCATGATATGAGAAATTAAAAACAAATGAAATAACTGATTGCAGAATTAACTAAAACGTAAGCTATAATTTAGAAATATAAGTAACATTATTAAAGAATAAAACCTGATAGCCAAAATTTTAAGTAATAAAGCCAACTCCCTGCTGTCAACATATTTTTGCCTCTATGAGAAAAACAAGATCATTTGTTCTGATACAAGTAAAAAAGTGAATACCAGTCAGTGAATAAAAGGCCTTTCTACAGTACTCAAAAATAGCATGCATTCCTTTCCTTTCAATGGATTTTTTAAATACTTAGGATCCTTTTAAGCTTTTTTTTCTTAAACAAAACCAAATTTGGATATTTTCCCCCTACCAATTAATTTAAAATTCATTCATGTGGTAGTTAATGAGAATTCTAATAACTGAACATCTGTCAAGTATGGGAGGGGGGGAGACAAAAAAGAGAAATCGTTTTTGGGTTGTTTTTGTTTTTTTTTAACTCAAGAGGCTACAGGCTTCCACAATTTAGCAAGTCAAATAACCTTCACAGGGCCCTTTACTGCATAACAGGACCAAAGGCCACAAGAGCTCCTTACTGTCCACGGAAAAGCTCCTACTAGTAAGATGCCAAACTGCGCAGACTCCCCCAACCTAACTAACAAAAACGGCCTAAAGATTCACAAGTAAGTTTTCCTATTAGAACATGACATTAATCCTACAGCACGTTATTGAAATTAAGTCTATCTAATTCAAATTGCCACAGAGGTCATTTAATGCCATCATAATCACCTGTGAAAATATCCAACAAGAGTACTTCCTTTTCCCAAGAAAGGTTAAAACATGAAATTAGTCATCTCTGCTTTCCAAGCTACTGGAAACAAAATAAACATACAAAAAACACAAAGGAAAACACCCTCCAATAGGAAAGATCTGCTAGAGGTAGAAATTTAAAGCAGCAGATACTGTTTTAACTCCAGCTATCAGGGAACAAAATTGGTGTTAATCTGAAATCACATGAACGGCTGCTTCTTACAATATTGAAGACACAATATTAAATTACTACCATGGGCAGTAATTTATCCCTGAATTTCACATTCAGAATTTCCCCACGGTGATACCATCATGACCGTTTAACTGAAAGAAAAAAAAAAAAAAAGTGCTTGCTTTTGTGATCCAGGTAATTTAAAGAAAAGACATTATTGTAAACATTCACTGACAGACTGTATTCACTTCTAGTTTAAAATCATACATTTCAAATGGTAGATTTTATTCTCATTTCCCCATTTTCCGAGCAGTACCTTGAATAAAGGCTTTTGTGCCTCACTTAAGGGTGTTGAGATCTCGTACATTTCAGAGTGATTCATGATGAGTATGCTTTCAAATAGTGTTCAGTTTAGTGTGCCCAAAAGACAAATTTCTCAGTTACTTGAATGCCTGAATGCATTATACTGGCCTGTGATCTTATTAAATTCAGCATTTCATAAAAATGAATGGTTGATGCTTCTCTAAGTTCAGCTGAGCTAGAAAAAAAATAATTTGAATGATAAGAGGACAGACACACATTCTATGTATGGATTGCTTAGGTCCAACACAAACAAAAGTCCCAATTCCAGATGCTGAATGTGACAGAGGATCCTCAGACTCTTTTAAAAATAACCTGTGCAATGCACACAAAACAGAGATTTGGGGGACTTCAACACTAGTAGTCATTAGTATGGCAGACTGGCAACAGACAGCTTCATGAAGACCACTGGAGATAAAGTTTTTTCTACTGAAAGACAATTCTGGGCTTCAAGGAAAAAGTATACTTGAAGACATTTCCTCCATTTTTACTTCTGTAGTACAAATATGCATGGCATAGTATATTTCTGAAAAAGCAATAGACGTATTAAGAAAATAGACGCTATTTCTAAATTTTGTTAGGAATAAGAAGGCACCACTGATTTGAGGTTGTGTCCTGTCATTGGGATAGTTGATTTTGAGTTGTTTATTTCAGCCTTTGCTCTTATCAAACTTTTTTCTGCTGATACCACTTGAGAACGTTACTGTGGTTTACGGACCACAAACAAGACACATTCATAGTAGTATTTCATCATGGAGAGATCATTCACAGTATATGTTGACAAGACAGATTCTTTTTCCACCTGGAATGCAAACAATAATCATAATGATGATGATGACCATGATGATAACACAGAGTATTTGTGACAGGTGCTATTTTAAACATACTCTGTTTATTAATTCATTTATTACAAACACCCCCTTAAGATTGGCATTATTAGTAATCACACTTTACAAAGAACAGATTGCTCATGGTCACACCACTAATAAGAGCTGGAGCTCTACGTGACTGTGATATATTGCTTCTCTTCATTTTTAAGAACAAATCTGTTGTTTATTTTTTTTAATGAATGAAATGGTTTTAAATAAACACACAACTAAAACACAAGTCAAAGTATCATAAAACCTTATAATCACATGATAAAAAAGACTGAACACTACAGAAGTACACACAGTGAACAATATCACTGCCCTCCCCCCTTCATCTGCTCTTCCAGACGCTAGTCAGCTTGGTATCTCCCCGTCTACCAGGGCCGATATTGTGATAATGGTAAACTGCCATGTACTGAAAGCAGACTGATGACACCAGGGATTATAGTTTTCCATTTACTTACACATTATGCCAAATCCTAATAATTCTAAAAGCTAAGTATTATTTTCACTTTATGGATGAGAAAACAAAGAGATTAAGAGGTAAAGCCAGGAACTCATAACAGTCCCATTCCTGTCTAAGAGCACTGGAAGTGAAACTTGATTCCATCCTCACCTCCACCTGGAATCCATACTGCAGAACGACATTTTTTATATCTTCATAGCTCAATTCTATGGAAAGTTCATTTGCCAAATTTTCAAAGTGGTACAGCAGAGGACCTACGGTTTAAAGATACTATGAATGTATTACTTAAATATAAACATGCACTAGTTGCTGTGTTAGAACTGCAAGTTGAATTATAAGATAGGTAGTATAAGAAACAAACATAAAAGGGAGAAGAGAACCTTTACATTTGCCAAGGGCATGTGTCCGGACCCCTGAAACTTTGGCCCATTCAAGTGCTGGGCCCACACTCGTGGGGAGGGAGTCCCTCTGGTGCACCAGGGTTGCACTGTGATTCTCCACATATGAGCCTTACACCTGGAACTCTTAAATCACTGAAGGAGCAACTGGATCAGAGAATGCGAAGTCCCTAAATTCCAAAGGTATACTGTAATTATAATTCTTTAAGTAAATGCACAGCTGCAGCTACAAACTGGTATCATGTGAAAAGAGAAGGGTCCTCAAGCTAGCCTAGGTCTAAGAGAGGGTCTGGGGATGGTGGGAATTTATAGGCAAGGCTTCCTAGAAGGAAGACATGACACCAGAGCTGGCTTTTTGAGGGCACAACTCACATCCCAGCTCTAACAGTTACTAATGGTGTGCCTGTGGGCAAGTCACTAGCTCTGCTCCATCTAATATGACTTCAGTGTGAGGTAACATGCAATACACCTGGCAGAGAGAAGGCATTCAGTACATGATAGCAATCACAGCTTTTTAAAATGACATTCCCCCTCTGCTATTCTCTCATTCCACGTATCCAGGGAACTATCATCTGACTCAAACCAGAGTCTCCAATCTTTCAATCGCTCACATTCTGCCCAATTCATCATCAGCCTCATCCAGGCAACACTATCATTCAACAGTTACTTCAGGACTAATCTAAACAATCTTCTCTTTACCTTTCATTGGGTTAACTACAGATCCAGTGCCCATCTCACCACTCCTACCCCTCATACAATGTGCTAATCACAGGAAGTAAGCGTAACAACAGGACAGTTTCTCCTCCCAAAAGGCTCACCACTCTGTGGAACATACGAACAGTTAAAACATTCTTCTTCCTCTCTTTTTTACCCTACATAAACCACTAGGAAAAATGACTATCAATATATACGTTAGTACTCTTTTTAGAAGAAAACAATGGTTCGCCATCAAACTATTCTGCCAAGCTTAATTTCCTGTTAGTTTTATTAGTACTACTAAAAATGACAGTAGCTGCCATTTATTGAGCACTGCTGTGTCCTAGACCATCCCGAGGCCTTTGAAGCCTTGTTATAAACATGAAGAGCCTCAGAGCAATCTGCCCGGCTCTAAAGTGTATGATGTTCCTGCTCCATTATTTTAAGAGCCTCCAGCATTATTGTCTTCTTATGTCTAAATAAACACTCCAATGATTCTTACACACTATGGTCATATTGTACCTCTATACTCATGTTGTGTTCCACCTAGAAGGCTCTAACTCCCCAACTCAAGCTTTAGCCATGCTCCAAAACCTTGCTGAAATCAAGTTTAAAAAAAAATTTTTTTTTAAAGATTTTATTTATTTAACAGAGAGACAGACAGGGAACACAAGCAGGGGCAGAGGGACAGGGAGAAGCAGGCTCCCCGCAGAGCAAGGAGCCCGATGCGGGGCTCGATCCCAAGACCCTGAGATCATGACCTGAGCCGAAGGCAGACGCCCAACGACTGAGCCACCCAGGTGCCCCTGAAATGAAGTTTTAACATAATCCACCCAAGTTTCCAGCCCTATTGCTCACTCTCTTAATATAGCCTACTTTAAAATTCATGTAATGTAGTATGGCATTGCTCACTGATTATTTTTCATGTAATCTGCACTTTTAACCAGATTACAAGCTACATGAGTAAAGGAACACATCTTCAGTTTCTTGTGAGTCCACCAAAATGCCCAGCATGCAGTGTACAGTTAGGCATCTGTAATTTTACCACCCAAATATAACCATTACAGTTGTATATTTTTTACAGTCTATTACAGATGGTACTTCGACAAATATCTTTGTGCATATTTTAGCCTTCTACAAGTATAACCAATCTAACATTTCTACATACCATTCTCTATTAAAAAGAACCAGGGGGGGCGCCTGGGTGGCTCAGTCGTTAAGCGTCTGCCTTCGGCTCAGGTCATGATCCCAGGGTCCTGGGATCGAGCCCTGCATCGGGCTCCCTGCTCTGCGGGAAGCCTGCTTCTCCCTCTCCCACTCCCCCTGCTTGTGTTCCCTCTCTTGCTGTGTCTCTGTCAAATAAATAAGTAAAATCTTAAAAAAAAAAAAAAAAAAAAAAGGAACCAGGGATCCTTGGGGGGCAGGGGAGAACGGCTGCTCTCAGGGCCTGGCAGAGAGAGTACAAGAGCTTGGAGCACTGGTGGTGCCAGAAAGGAGGCACTCAAACGGGGACAGGGACATGTCAAATGGACAAAGGAGAAGGGGGCCCCACGTGCCAAATCTGGGACAAGTTAATTTACACCATTTATCTCCTTAAGGTTCTAACAATTCCAGTTAAGAGACAGATTGTTATATTGGAGAACAAAAGGTAACTAGGCTGTTTTTAAAACACATCTAAAACAAAGATATAGAAAGGATTTAAGATGCAGAAAAAGATACACATTAACTAGAAGAAAGCTTGTGGTAGCTATCTTGAAATGCCCACTTAAAGAAACATGGCTTGTGAGTGCTCCGCGTGCTTGCCGCAGCCGTCGCCTCCGCTGCGACCAAGATGGCAGGGAGACTCGCCACCTTCCTCAAGGATGCCTGGGCCAAGGAGCCGGTGCTGGTCCTGTCCTTCACCATCGGGGGCCTTGCTCTAATTCTGCCCACCCTCAGCCCCTTCACCAAATATGCCACCATGATCAACCAGGCCACGCCCTACAACTATCCAGTGCCCCTCCGAGATGATGGGAACATGCCCGACGTGCCCAGCCACCCCCAGGACCCCCAGGGCCCAAGCTTGGAGTGGCTGAAGAACTTGTGAGCACCCCCGGTGACATGGAGGAGGCCCCTCCCCTGAGCCAATAAAATGTGAAAAGCGACCCCAGAAAAAAAAAAAGAAAAAGAAACACGGCTTGCAATTGTTCGAAACAAAAAAGCTGGCACTCAAACCTCAGCAAAAAGTTTTACGGCTGGGTAGGGAGCTCTCGTGGGTGCAGGTCGCAGGGGTGGGGGGGGGGGTGGTCACCGTCCGCTCATTTTCCAATCTCTTTCTTTTCTGTCCTACATCTCACCCTCACTCTCTACTAGGTCATGTCTTCATAAATTGTATTCTTTCCCATTCACTTTTTCCAGTAAATTAAACTTCTGGTCTTTGCCTGAGCATGGAGTAGGCATCTTGGTTACTTGGTTACATAGGGGTCAAGATCTTCAACTTCTGTTTTTCCCCATATAGTCACTCATATTCCAGAATTATTCCAGGTCCTCCATACAGCCAGTTGTTTTCCAGGGTTACTGCAGGTCAACCGGCTCTGTTCACACTGGGTTTTTTGCAAAACTTACCCAGCTACCCCATCTGAAAAAATGCTACATTTTGTTGTCTCCTGATGACCTCCCTGCCATTTTCTGACATTATTTTAGACCCTTTTTATATTTTTACAACCAACGTAACAAGGTCTCAGTGTGTAAAGGAGACAATGTGTCCGTTATCTACCTTTTACAGGAAACCTCTCATGTTTCAAAAAATATCCAGCTTTAGAATGCTTGAAAACTTGTTAGGACTCATTACACTTTATAAAGCTCTCCTTTGGTACTTGTGAGATGATAGAACATATACACACTGGTCTCTGGCACCGGGCTCCTGAAACCCTTGTAATTTCCTAAGTGATAAGAACACTAGGCGCATCTTTTGTTCAAATATTAGGTCCCTGCCACAGGGCTCCTGGACGGCTACTGGATGAGGCCTAGTCACCAAAAAGACCAAGCCATGATTAGAAGCTTGGATTTTCAGCCCTGCCCCACTATTCTCTTAAGAAAGGGAGAAGGGCTTAAAAATGGAATGAGTGATCATGCCTACATGATGAAGCCTCCATAAAATCCCAAAAGCACGGAGTTCAGAGAGCTACTGGGATGAACATGTGGAGGTGCTGGGAGAGTGGCAACACCAGGACAGAGCATGGAAGCTCCACACCCCTTCCCAGATCCTCTGCCATACGCATCTCTCCCATCTGCATGTTCACGTGGATCCTTCATATCCTTTAATAAAATGGTCAACCTATGTGTTTCCCTAAGGTCCATGAGTCACTCATGCAATCAAACCCAAAGAGGGGGTTACTGGAACCTCCAATCTGCAGCCTATAGATCTAGAGCTGGTCAGAAGCACAAGTGACAGTTTGTGACTAGCGTGTGAAGTTGTGGGAGTGAAAGGAGAGGGTCCTGTGAGACTGCACCCTTCACCTGTGGTATCTCACAGTATCTCCAGGTAGACAGTATCAGGAGTTAAAGTGTAGGGCACCCAGCTGGTATCACAGAGAATTGCTTGTTGTAGAGGAAAAAACCCCCATTTGGTGACTAGACGACGTGTCTGAGTGTTTTATTATATGAGGAATAAAGGAGACACACAGGGAAGAACTGGGTTTTTCCCCACATAGGAAGGAAAAAACTGCGGGTCTTTCTTTTTCGTACTTTAAGCTGTTTATTCTTCCAGATGAAGTTAGGTTCCGTCTGCTAATTGCCTGCCCTCCACTACTGGACTAGAAACTCATCAGTGCATGCACATGCACCCACACACAGGTTGTACAATAAATTACACATACATGGGTTTAAGGGTCACCACGAAAAACTGAAGAACAGGATGCACAGGCACTTTTCTACATTTTGCTAAATCATAGCCTTTCCCAAAGGACACAGGGAAACGGTTCTCTTAAAAAGCTCACTCTCACTAGCTTTCCCTAACCTGAGGAATATTAGAATACTTCAGATCCCCCTTAAAGAGGTTTTTAAATTAACAATATTCCCACTTGTGATTTCATAGAATATAGACAATATCTTCACTGTAATTTAACTTCCAATGTAGCTTTTCAGTATTCCATCATGGCTAGCAGGGACCGTTCTCATTCTCTATGAATATAGTGACGTTACGGTCTTGTGTCAGCATGGTTAGGGTGAAATCAACCCCCAGGGGCTGATGCACTCTCAGTTTACAGATAAAATTATCTTTCCAGGTCCATCTGACTGACGCCAAAACCATGGGAATGTTACGAATTTACTAAAAGAAATGCCACTTTGTCCTGTCTCCTGGCAGCCAGTCTTCTGTGTCATCTTAACATTACTCTGCTTCCACCTTCAAATTTTGAAACAATACACTCATACACAGAAGTTAATGAAGAGCCACTGGTTGTCAGGCTCTGCAGGAGGTAAAGAGCGAGCATTAGCTTCCAGCCCTCACTGAGCTCAGAGACTACTAGAGAAAACAAAAACATATGGGTGGCAACACTATGTTGTGTTAAATGCTCACGGATTCTGCGAGAATATAAAAGAGGAATACAACAAACATTTATTCCAGCCTTTTCGAAAGGATCACCTCAGCTGAGTGTTAAGAGCACCCAGGAAAAAGCCAACATGAGAACAGAGGGAAAAGAGAAAGGGCATCTGCAGTCAGGGCTGGGGCAGTGACAAAACAGAAATAATGAAGCTAAGACACAAAGATCACAAAGGGCACTATGCCCAACCCTGAAGAGTTTCGGGTATCTAGAAAGCTAGAATTTTATGTAGGGAGTGTGTTAGGAGGATCATTCTAGTGGTAACATACGGAGGACTAAAAGAGGCACAGAGGGTTGGAGACAACTTGAAGGTGGGGCTACCCCAATGGAACGGATGCAGTAATCCGGGCAAGCAGTGATGAGGGCCTAAACTAAGGAATTAGCATGAGGTTGGAACAATGGTTCTCAAATGGGTTGATTTTGCGTCTCCATCATCACAACTGGGTGGTCCTGCTGCAATCGAATAAGCAGAAGCCAGGAATGCTGCTCACCATTCCACAGTGAGCAGGACAACCCTCCTTCTCCATACCCTTCACATGAAGAACAATCCAGCCCCATATGTCAACGGTGCCACTGCTGAGAAACCCTGGGACAGAAGGAAATTCAAGACCTACGGAGAAGCTTTAGGAGACATGCCTTGTGGACTGATTGCGTGCAGATGGTGAGGAAGAAGAGGGGTAAAGGAGGACGCACAGGTTTCTGGTTGGGGGAATCTGCGTCAACGATGGATCAGAAAAGACAAGGGGTTTTTCCTGGATTTTGAAGTATCCAAGTTGGTACATAGTGGCTTGGACCATAACAGATAGTTGGACCAGAGATACAGAATGGGAAATGAAAGAATAGGAGGAGCCGCGATAGGAATTACATGGAGTAAAGGATGTGCACATGGCATGAAAAGTAAGAACACTCTTCTGAGCAGATACCCAGAGCGCACCAGTCTAAGAGAATCGTCATTTTTAAAATTCTTCAGCTTATACATGTAAAGAATTTTATTTGGAAAGTACTAACCTTCCAAATAACTATTTTTAAGGACTATGCTTCTCCATTATTCCAATGCTCAGAATTGTTTTGGAACTCTGTTGTATGAAGAGTAGAAGCTCTCCTAAATTGACCTTCCCCCCTAACCCAAGTGCCCTATTACCTCATGCCTGGGACAGATCACAGCGCGGCCCAGCGTGTCTGCTCTTATCAAACAGTAGGCTTATGAAGAGCCAATTTTATTTGTTCCAGGCAGTTATAATTACTGTTATTACATAACTGAATAAAATATTAATAAACCAAATGAAATAGAAGTTCAAACAGAAAAGTTGTTTCTGTGAAAGTTAACGCTTTGGAAATACATGAAACCTTACCATGACTCAGTAATTGGAGTCAGAAATATTAATCACATAATTAACATGAACTGTTAGGCTCAGGATGAGCCTGCAGAATTATCTGGTTAGGCATTAAAGGGGTTGGATCTGAGCTGTGAGCCTGTCTCTGCCATATATATAAGCTCCGGGACGCCCCTGCTAGTTACTTACAGCGAGATTCAGACTCACCAACTATAAAAATACCATCTCAACATAGGGTTGTTTTGAGATTCAGTAAGGTATTTGCTCACCCACAGCGGTAATGCAGTTGACCCTTGAACATCACAGGTTCGAACTACACAGGTCTGCTTCTACACGTTTTGTTTTGTTGATAAAAATACAGCACAGTACTGTCAATGTATTTTCTCTTCCTTATGATTTTCTTAGTAACATTCCTTTCTCTAGCTTACTTTACTTTACTGCAAGAATACAGTATATAATACATGTAGTAAATAAAATACACACTAATTGTTTATGTTATCAGTAGGCTTCTGGTCAACAGCAGGTTAACAGTAGTTAGTTTTGGGGGAGTCAAAAGTTATACAGATTTTTGACTGTGCAGGCCCACACTGTTAAAGGGTCAACTGTATCACATTTCAATCATTCCTTGGGAAATTTTTAAAGAAACTTACTTTAAAGAAGTGACTCCTTTGAAAGAGGACCTAAGGTTTGGGATAACTTTCATATTACGGTTGCATTTTACAGCCACTCTCATCTGTCCCGTGAAATTCTAGAGAGAAGTTTGAAAAGATCTATTTCTACCTCTAGTCTTAGTCCTAATGGCAAAATCTGCGGTGAAGTCCAATCATTTAAAAAAGAGCACGTGACAGAACCCAACAACAAGACTAGACTAATCCTGAAGGCCACGGACTCCAACAATGTGTTATCTCTTGGGGCTTCCACTGCTTTGAGAGGAACTCCACGCTAACTGGGATACAGTCTAACGGAAAGGATACAACATAACTATCACCTTTGTGAACATTTGGTACCCTAAAGTTACCAAAGAGAGGATAGCTATAAGTACTCAGATTCATGTGTAAGATTCTAATAAACACTGAGGAACTTACCTAGATTTATCCAAATTCCACCTGGCTTGAGTATTTTCCATATTGTGTCAATATAATCAATGACATTGTGAGCTGTGTCTATGAAGAAACAGGTAGCAATACAGTCCCAGGTATCTATTCAAGGAAAACCACATTACTACATTCATTACGTTATATTTCCTTTCCTTTTAATTACTTCTACAAATGTTACCTCTTACAGATTATGAATATTTCATTTAACTGGAGGAATACAGAAGCTAAACTTCCAATCAACAAGGTAATTAGGGTAACTAAGCAATCATTTATGACATGCTTCACAGTTCATGAAAGTTTTTACTAATAATTTGATAATCACTTTGGAAACCATTTTTTTTTAATATTTTATTTTATTTTTTTATTCTTATGTTAATCCCCATACATTACATCATTAGTTTTAGATGAAGTGTTCCATGATTCATTGTTTGTGCATAACACCCAGTGCTCCATGCAGAATGTGCCCTCCTCAATACCCACCACCAGGCTGACCCAACCTCCCACCCCCCTCCCCTCTAGAACCCTGTTTGTTTTTCAGAGTCCATCGCTCTCATGGTTCGTCTACCCCTCCGATTTCCCCCGCTTCATTCTTCCCCTCCTGCTACCTTCTTCTTCTTCTTCTTTTTTTTTTTTTTCTTAACATATATTGCATTATTTGTTTCAGAGGTACAGATCTGAGATTCAACAGTCTTGCACGATTCACAGCGCTTACCAGAGCACATACCCTCCCCAGTGTCTATCACCCAGTCACCCCATCCCTCCCACCCCACCCCCCACTCCAACAACACTCAGTTTGTGGAAACCATTTTTGATAGCCTATATAACTAGGTATCTTTACCAAATGGTACTTGTAAGAGTTTTGTTTATGATCTACTCAATGTCTAGCCTTCATTTCAAATTGGTTAAGATGATGTAATTGTCATTTGAATTTTAAACTGTGTTTTAAGCCACTGTTAATCGCCAATTCTGGCAAGTTTCAGAAAGGCTGTATGCACTTGTTGCCAAGTGAGAAACAAACGGCATAGAAATACTTAAACCGTTCACCAGTATTTCAGAGAATCAGCAGTGGAAAAGGGGAACGAGGCTGTCAGTGCCCCGTGGAGGCCGTCGCAGGGCACAATCCAGGGACAGAGGCTGGATTCTACAAATCTCGGTGCCATAAAGGCACTGATCCCACCGAGGATGACCTTCACCATCTGCTCTCTCAAGCCCTGCTACACAAGGTCACCTGTACTCGCCTAAGTGACTGTTTTCCATTATGTCACCTCTCTTTTGAGAACTTTCTCTCTATCCTATCCCCAGCACTTAACATTTTCCATCTGTTTCTACCTTCGGAATACAGGTTTTCCCAGTGTCAGAGTTCAGGGGAAAATAAACAAAAACTTGACTAAATCTTGTTACTCCCCGCTCGAGTCCCTCCAATGGCTTCCCACCTCTCTGAGTACAATCAAAGTCAGCCTCACCAAACCCTCCCCAACCTGACCTCCCACCACTGCACCCACTGCTCACTACACCCCAGCCAAAGTGGCTTCCTGCTCTTCCTTGAGCAGAACAAGCATCCTCCCCACACTGAATCGTTCTTCCCTCACCATTGCTTCTGTCTGCAACATTTCCCCCCCAAATATCTAATGGTTTGCCTCTTCACTTTTTCAAGGTTCTCTGCTCAACTTTTTTTTTAAAGTTCTGCTTAGAGAGCCTTCCCTGATAACTCTATAAATAGCAGCCTCTCCCCAGTCACTCTGTATCCCTGTTACCCTGCCTTAGTATTCTTCCTCAGAATTTTAAATTTGTTATTGCCCCTCTCTGCCTATTGGAACACAGATTCCCTGTGGACCAGGAACTTTGCTTTGCTCACTGCTCTTTCCCATGCCTAGAACATACCTGGGACTTAGCAGGTGCTCAAATAAATTTGTTGAATGAATGATCTTGCTGACCTCTTAGGATACTATTTTTCTTCTTCCTTTTACTAAAGCTAATCTACTCCCCCCACCACCACCCCTCTCTCCATTACCATCTCCCTTTCTCTAATGCTAGCTCAAACTTCAACAGTTTGCCAAGATGAAGTCCCAACTTCATAGCCTGATTTTAAAGGTCTTCTATAATCTGGAACCAACCTACTTTTCTGGCCATATCTCCCATTAAACTACCAAACCAACCTCTCTTTTCCTTCCAGTCAGGCTATCCCACCATCCCTGATTACCTTATTCATTTATATCTTCCTACCTCTGCCTCCCTCTTCCTTTTTTTGGATTTTTATTTATTTATTTGACAGAGAGAGACAGTGAGTGAGTGTGCACAAGCAGGGGGACCAGCAGAGGGAGAGGGAGAAGCAGGCTCTCAGCTGAGCAGGGAGCCTGATGCAGGACTCGACCCCAGGACCCTGGGATAATGACCTGAGTTGAAGGCAGACACTTAACTGACTGAGCCACCCAGGCGCTCCTGCCTCCCTATTCTTGAAGTCACAGCCTTCTCTCTACAAAGATCTCCTTTCCCACACTATAATCTTTTACCTTTATTATATTCATTATTCATGAACTTTTTTCACATGTGTCTTATATTAATAGACCCAACAGATTCTATATTTCTTAATGGTGGGACCTTAAACTTCTTTATATTTCCCATCATTCCCTTATAGAGGACTTTGAAAATATCCTAACTTGCCACTGAAGTATATCTTATATTCTGCTATCAAAACGAATGACCAACACTTTGGCTTAGTATAAAATTAGCTCATTAAATTTAGAATAAAGAACAAGAACTTTTAAATGCTTGTTTTGGACTTACTGCATTCTGAGTAGATCTCCTGAAAATCTCCTGCTGTCATAGAAAAATTAGAACCAGGAGGAAGACTGTGGGGATCAACATCAGGGAAAAAGATAGGTCGAATCTGATCAGCTGACCTCCGGTTATTGCTAAACTGATGGATCCAGGGATAAAGCTTATATTTATTAATTTCAGAACATCTGCAAAATATGAGCACAAAATTCAGTGTTAACTAAAAATTTTACCAAGAAAATCTACTTTAAATACTAAAATATAATCTGAAGATTTACTTATGTAATTCATTAATACTTAAGGTGTTACCACTACATCCCAACCAATTATCTGAAAATGCACATATACACATATGTAGATGAGTAACCAATCATGAATTAAAAGACAGGAAAAAAATTAAAGTAACTTCAGAGATATAAATGTGTTGTTCATTCACATTTTAAAAAAATGTATTTCCAAACTTCCAAACTTCAAACTGAAAAACAGACCACCTCTTTTCTCAAAAAAGTGGTATGGGTTTTGTTTGCTACCCAACTATTCTCATTCTCTCCGTTTTACCTTCTCACCATTCCCTAAGCCATACTGGACAACATATTATTTAAACAAGGCAGCTAGTTATTTTTTCCAATGCACCTCTTCTGGCTTTAAAAATAACAACTCTTTTCCACTATTTTCTAAAAGAGGCCACAGAAATTCTGAGAGATGTTTCCAACTCAATCATATGAGCATACTTGGCCATTTTATAAGAATTTGATTAAGGGGAAAAGTTATGATTGCTACACTGCACTTATTCCACTGAAGAAACAAAGGGGTGAAGAAGTTCAAGGAACAATGAGAAAATACTCCTTCCTGGATCATCCAAAGTCTTGAAATTCTGCACAGGGAGCATTTCAGTTTCATGGGATGTCCCATCATTTTCTAAAAAGTCATTTATCCATCCTGTTTCAACATTCTGTTAACTAAGAACTAATTACAAGTGGTAATTTGTATAAGCAACTTGATTTTAATATAAGAAACACTTATGATTACATATCATAATTAAACACTCTGTATTTATCTTCAAATTCAGAACTGTTCAAAATAGGTAAGTCAATCTGATTCTGAGAAATTACTATTTCCAGCAAAAAGTAAATTAAATACCTGTTGAGTACAAAGTTGGAAGAAAAGAGCATAAAAAAACTCCATTCATTTCCTTGACAAGCATAACCTAGCATAGCTATTTCCCAGGCCAGTCTTCCTAGTCCAGCACCAGGTACCAGAATATTTACTTTAGAAGGATCCCTGAAATGAAATAAGGCAATTATGTCCAACCCCTCAAAGAAAAAAAAGAAAAGGCAAAATCCACATTAACAACTAAAAACTTAGATATTCAGTAAGAATAAGGTCACTCAAAATTGACTTTTTAAAATTGAGAAATACTCTAAATATAAATGAAAAATAAGGGCATGAGGAATTATCATATGTTCAAATATCAGATGAGGGTTTTATGCCCTAAATACTTTTCAGGAAAAAAAAAGGAGTCGCCTTATATCTAAAGACTTAGAAGACACTCATACCCCCATAGTAGCTGTCACTTGAACAACTATCTCAAGAAGACAAATTATCCCAAAGGGATCCCAACACACACAAAGATTGAACAAAATCATTTTATCATCAGACACTGAAACAAAACATTATCTCTAAATTCTGTAACTAATACAATAGTTTGTGTGACTAAATAGATGAAATATATGTAGATTTTTAATGCGTTAGTTGTATCTTTAAGATCCTATATATTTTAGCTGGCAAAAGAATTTGGAGGGAGGGTATTCTCATGCGGAAAATGAAGAATTGCCTTCTAACTGAGCATAATTAATTGCAAGTCCATCACACCAAATCACAGACACAACCCAACTGCTCTTCACTTATTGGCATCACACTATAGAAACAAATTCTCTTCATTCTAAAATCCACCATCCACTTTCAAATGGCTAAAAAGCCTTAGCAAAGCAAGGGACCTTCTCAGGAATTCCAGCCAATCAATATAACCCTAAGGAAACCAAAATGGTATTCTTAGAGAAAACCAAAGGCAAATGTGTATAATCAGCTGTCATCATATCAATTACAAAGAATTTCACTATTGTCTGCATTCTCCAAATTTAGTTCGTAAATCATAACCAACTTCCAAATCTACCCCGTGGATAATTCTCTTTTTTTTTAATCTTTATGCTACCTGGTCTTTAAGTTTGATGTGCTCCAGTAGCAACTAGGGGCCCATATGGTAACCGCTGCCCCTTCCCACTCTGAAATCAAGAGGAAACAAACAGAACTACAGGGCTCTTGGAAATTCAGTCTACAAATACAGTAACATGGCAATTTTGGCCCAGGTCATCCAGTCTTAAATGTATATGTATTTGTATAAAAACCTTAACAAAGTCTACTTAATTTCACTGTTGAATTTTATATATACAATAAGACATAAACCAAAATTTGTTAAAAATGACTTCTGACGGGGCGCCTGGGTGGCTCAGTCGTTTAAGGGTCTGCCTTCGGCTCGGGTCATGGTCCCAGGGTCCTGGGATCGAGCCCCATGTCGGGCTTCCTGCTCGGCGGGAAGCCTGCTTCTCCCTCTCCCACTCTTCCCCCTGCTTGTGTTCCTGCTCTCGCTCTCTCTCTGCCAAATAAATAAATAAAATCTTTAAAAAAAAAAAAGACTTCTGACAAACAGGCTTATTAGGATTAGGAGACATCCTTTAATACTTGGTATGAGCAAACTGATGCCAAGCTGCCACATAAAATGCTTTCTTCTCATTTCAGGTCACACACATGTTTGTGTGTGAACACTTTAATTTTTAATTGATTTAATTTAAATTTCTAATGAAAAGAATGGGTAACATCCTCCCATGTGGTTTAGACCTACCTGTATCAGTTATCTAACAAGCATATAAAGTATATACATATTTTTAGTATGAGAATTTGAAAAGCTACTGGCCGCACTCTATGCTATCCTTTGTATGACGGACCTACCAATGTGGCACCCGGCCCAGGGCCTCTCTCTCATCTTCCACTCCCTATCAGACCCACCCAAACCCGTACTCTCCCAGAATTACCTCTTTTCTTTTCTCAGTTCCCATTTGCCCAATCAAAACACCCATTTTTACCAAGTGGCTGTTCTCACCTTAGATTTAAAAAAAAAAAAAAAAAGGCAAAGTAATGCAACAAAAGTAAATGGATTTAGAAGTAATTTCAGAGTATTTAAATCATTACAAAAATAATCACTAATAACGTCTGGATGGCTGATAAGCTGAGTAAAAAACTACCAAGAAGAAATTAGAAATCATGCTAATCCTAAGGCAAAGTTGTGTTAATAATGGTACTGACAATTTTTTTTGTCAACTTATGCAAAGTTAACTTTATGACTGGTACTATCAAATTCTCCGTACCCAAACAGGCCAACAGAACTCTCTACCCCCACCTTGTGGCAGAAACTGCTGTATAAAACTGCTATTAAAAGGCTGTCATCAAGCCGAGGAATGCAGACTGTTTATCAAGGCCCTTGACTAGGAGTTAGCAAAGATTATGATAGATCTATCAATTATCTATATTATGACAAAAGGATTTCTGTGGGCATACAAAAGGAGACACATTAAAACAAATGCCCAGAATTGGGAAAAAAAAAAAAAAAAAAGGAAAAAATCAAGCAATCAATGAAAGAGGGAGATGGAGAGAATTTTTCCCTAAGTTTTTGTTCTTAGATTTTTTTTTTCATTGGGTCATTATATGAGGGACATTAACAGCATAATGGAAAGTCCCTCTAATTACGTGTATAAAAATAAAGCATTTTAATAGGCAGTTCCTGCTATGACTATGCATGTTAGCTCTAGGGCATTTCTATGAAGGTATTTCTGTGGAAAATAAGGGAAATAAAGTCGACATATAGACCTTTAGTGTGATGTGACTTTAAGCTTGGCTAAAACTTAGAAAACCAGGAACAGAGGCACATAATATCTGGCTCAGTACTCAAATGGTGCTGCTGGAGATCCTTAGCAAAAATAAGTAAGCAGGGGCGCCTGGGTGGCTCAGTTGGTTAAGCGACTGCCTTCGGCTCAGGTCATGATCCTGGAGTCCCGGGATCGAGTCCTGCATCGGGCTCCCTGCTCGGCGGGGAGTCTGCTTCTCCCTCTGACCCTCCTCCCTCTCATTCTCTCTGTCTCAAATAAATAAATAAAATCTTAAAAAAAAAAAAAAAATAAGCAAGCAGACAAGTTTACCTAGTTACTAAGGTCCAACTACGGACAAGCAGTGTATTTACTACAAATATGACACCCCTGATAACAGCAGGGAAAGTTTCAACAGTTCATTCCAGACAAGCAAGAAGAAAGAGAGCACACCTATAGGGACAGAACGTGGAGCTCTCGTGTATCTAAACAGGCCGTGGCGCTCGCTGGTACCACGCTCTGTGCTCCAACAACTACCAGCAGTAAACGTGGTTCCTGAGAGAGGTGTCCCTCATTGGACACAGAATGGTTTTTGCGCTGCAGCTGCAGATTAGCAAGTCCCAACACACAAAATACCTTCTCTTGAGTCAACATGCTGACACTTAGCTGACCCCTGGCGGTTAGGGGTGTGTACACTTCCAGGCACTCAAAGTGTTCGATTCTGTCTGAATCCCAGCAGTTCTCTGCTCAGTACAATAAAAGCCACTCACCACTTGTGGCTACTGAACACTTAAAATGTGGCTAGTCCGATGTGATGCGAGTGCAAAACAGATGCTGGATTTCAGTATAAAAAAGGAATGTAAAATAGCTCATTAATAATCTCACATACCGACTGTATGCGGAAATAAACTGAATTATTAAAGTATATTATTAATTTCACCTGTGGCTTTTTATGTGGCTACGAGAAAATTTAAAATAACATATATGGCTTGCATTATATTTCCGTTGACCAGTGCTTGATCCACACAGAGAAATAGTAAAAACACAATTTTGAGCAAAAGCCAATTGTGAAATGACACCACAAGCCGTCTATGAGCTTTTACAATATAAACAATAAAATGTTTTATTTAAAGGTATATAAATATGTAGTTATTGTAGGAAGGTAAGATCAGAGTAACAACTTCATATTAGTTGTTACCTCTGGAAAGAGAATATACTGAGCTTTTCAGGGCATGGTTTCAACTGTATCTGTAATGTTTCTTTTAAAAAATACATTAAAAAAACCACACAAACAAAACAAAACCCTGAATGAAGTAAATATGGCAAAATTTCAAGGTTTAACAGATCTAGGTGTTGAAATATTTTGTATTCAAAGTAGAAAATGGGGGGCGGCTGGGTGGCTCAGTCTGTTAAACGTCTGCCTTCGGCTCAGGTCGTGATCCTAGGATCCTGGGATCGAGCCCCATGTTGGGCTCCCTGCTCAGCGGAGTCTGCTTCTCTCTCTCCCTCTGCCCCTTTCCCTGCTTGTGCACTCTTTCTCTCAAATAAATAAATAAAATCTTAAAAAAACCCAACTACAACTGGGTTAGAAATCCCTTTAGTATCTAGCCCCTTCAAAAATATTCCAGTTCACCTCTTCATCCACTCTCAACAAAGAACTCCCATGTATCAAATAACTTCTCACCAATTCTAGAAAACACTTTCTCACCTTAATCTTTAGAGCTCCTACACACCCACAGAAACTCAGTTTAAATTATCACATTATCTATGAAGTCTTTCCCAAACATCCCAGGCATGGGGGTTGAATTCACCTCTCAATAATTTCAGCACTTCATACCTCTGTTATAGTTTATATACCAAGTTTTTCTATGACCCACAGACCAGTCACCTGTTTTTGTAAATAAGGTTTTACTGGAACATAGTCATGCACATAGACAAACTGTCTATGGCTGCATCCCACAACGACAGAGTCGTACCCAATGACTACACTGCCTGAATAGCCTAAAATACTTACTGGCTGGCCCTTTAAGGAAAAGTTGGCCATCTCTGATCAAATGCATCTTGAACGTCTTTCCTATTTGTACACAGAGCTTCCTTAATCTGTTATGACTAAATAAATATTCCACTGCATGACTGTACCATAACGTATCAAAATCCACTAATTAAGGACATTTAGATTTTTTCCCAAGCTTTTGTTATTATAATGTTAAAACTAATATCCTCGGCATAAATGGGGATCTTCCACATCCAGGAATCTGTAGAAAACTTCCCCAAAATTGAATTCCAAGAGTCAAAAGATATGAATTTAAATTCTGTTAGATATTACCAATCTTTTGCCCTCCAAAAGATTTTACTGATTTATTC